TTTAATAACTAATTTTCTATCATATTATATATTCTGTTCTTACATAAATTCCTAATTAAAAATCCTTTCCGGAGACCCTCGTCCTTTCTGGATTTCTTTAGAATTAGAAAATTTAGAGATTAATTGCAATTAAGAATTTGGAAATCCTTCTGGACATTGCTTAAGTGGACCTTTATTTTATTTTTTTATACTAAATTAATTTATTTTACAATAAAAAGATTTTAATAAAATATATAAAGTATTCTTTATTTCTATATTTTTGTTTTTTTTAGTCTCTATGCCTTTATGTAGGATTTATTTAGGAGTTCATTCTATTTAATAGGCAATCTTGGGAATTTTTTTTAGTTTTTATTTTATAATTTTATATTATTATTTTTTTAAGGAATTTATTTAATTTTTAATTTGTTACAACCTGGAAATTGCGAAAAATACTTGTTTAAAATATAAAATTAAGAAAGCATTAATTTAAATGATTTTTTATATATTTTTTATAGTAATTTTAATAATAAATACTATTATATGTAATCAAAGATTTTCTTAAACTAAAGAAATAAGTGATTGGGAAGAAAACATAAAAAAATAATGCAAAATCATCTAATTAAGTAATTTGAAATTTCTATATAAGAAACCGTTTGTGGATTCTAGTATAATTTTAGTCCCCTTTGTGATTTTTATCTTAATTATTTTTGGATAAAAAAATGAATTTTTTTAAGGACAATATTAATTTGAAAAAAATATACTTTTAATTTTTTTATTTTAAATTTTATTTGGAGGAAGTTTAGGAGCTATTATATATTTTTTTAATTTATTTTAAATTTTTTATATTAAGTTTATTGTCAATTCTATTGCCTTTTTTATGCTTTGTTTTGGATTTTTATATCTTAATCAGATTTTGCTTTAAAAATTTAAATTAATAAAAATTTAAGAAAAATGATAGACAATATTTAATAAAAAGAGATAAAATTATTTAATTTAATATAATAGGCAATTTTTTATAAACAAAAAAATTATTTAAACAATTTTTCATAATTTTATTTACAAGTAATTAATAAATAAAAATGTTTTATAATAAATTAAAAATTATAATATATTATAAATATTTATAATATATATATTTATTTTTATATATATTTAATAGGATTTTATTAAATATATTTTTTTATTATATATTTATTTTTTATATATAATTTTATTTTAATTAAAATAAATAATTTATTAAATTTAAAGTTATTATATTTTTTATTTATATTTTTCATATATTCTAATTTTTTTATTTTAAATTTATTTTTCCAAACTTTCTAATTATTTATTTATTTTTGTTTTTTTTTTTAAATCTGCTCCAGATTTCCATTTTACATTTTCTATTTTATTAAGTTCATTTTCAAGCTTAATAAAAAAAATTTAAATAAAACAAAACCAAAAACAATCAAAAAATTTACTTTTATTTTATTTTACATTAATTATTATAAACTAATTATTTTATCTTCATTTTCTTTATTTCCATTTTAAAAACTATCTTAAGATTTTTATTTTATTTCATTTTCTAAATTATCATTATTATTTTATTATAATTCTTAAAAAATTCCATTATCTTTTGGCCTAATAATATCTTATTTTTTATTTTAATATAAATCATTTTCATTATTATTTTATTTTTAATAAAAGCCTTATTATTATGTGCCAAAAATATTATGATCAACAGGTTTATTTTAAAACCTTTTAGTTTAATTTAAAGGACTTTCATTTATTTTTTAAATTTAAGTACTCCTTTAATATTCAATAACTTGATTTTTATTTCCATTAAAACTTACAGTTTTAACATTATCATTTTTTTTTAATTTTCATCTATAAAATTTTATTTTTTTTAATTATCTTCTTATTTCTATATTTAATCTTATTATTAACTTTATTAATAATCACATATAGATTTTAATTCTTCTTTTTATTTTTTTTCATATAAAGCATTTATATCATTTATATTTTTTATTAAAAGATTATTATTTTCTTTTAATTACTTTTTTTATTATTTATTTATTTATTTAATAATAAAAAACTAATTAATATTACAATTTTTATTTTATTTTTACTATTAGTTCTTTAATTTAATTAGATGAAGTAATTTTTAAATGGTGAATTTCAAAATTTGCTTTATCAATAGTTAATTGTAAAACATTTTCTTTTTATATTTTTTCTTAAAAAAGTTATTTTTAATTATAAAGTTCATTCTATATTATTTATTATTAAAATTCAGAATCATGTAATTATTTAGTAATATTATAATTTTCAGTTTTTAATCTTTCGTTTTCGATTTAAAGAAGATTATATTTTTATTAAAAATCATTTATTGTTCTCAAATTTTATTCATGTTCTTGGTATTAATAATATTATTAGCGTTTATTTTCATTAAATTTTTCATTATATATTTCCGAGGTTATATTTAATGAATATATTTTTTATTTTTATTATTCTAATTATGAATTAATGTCTGATATTATATTATTTTTATGTATTATTTATTTTTCTAACACACTTTTTTATTTTATATAAAATAATATTTTTTTGTTACTTTTTTCATCAATAATTTAATTAATTTTAATGTTTAATTATCTAATTTAATCTTCATATTTTTTCTTTAAATTTCTTCTTCAGATACCTTTTATTTTAATTTTTAATTTTCCGAATTTTTATTTTCATTATTTTTTTCAAAATCATTATTTTTATTTTTCAATTAATAAATTATTTAGTTATTTTCTTATAAAATTTTATTATATTTCTCGTTTTCCATTTAAATTTTATTATTTAAAACTTTTTTTTGTTAAAAAAAAAAAAAAAAACACATATATAATATGTATATAAAAAACAAAAAAATTACGTATTTTTTCATTTTCTAAAAATTCGATTTTCTTTTTTAAATTATCTGAAAATTCTTCATTTTATTTAAATTAAATTTATTTATTATTAAAATTATTTTAAATTTCATTCATTTATTTCTGAATGCTTTACAATTCATTTTTTAAATTCTCGTTTATTTTTTTTTCTTATAAAATTTCATTTCTATACTTTTCCACATTTAATTTTAATTCTAAATCAAGTCTTTTATTTACTTCTCTTATTTATTTATCATAATAATTTAAATTTTATTAAATTAATTCTTATTAAGGAAACATATCAATTAATTATTATGAAATTTAATATTACTATGGAAATTAATATTATTATGGAATTTAATGTTATAATGGAATTTCAGATTATTACGCTAGTTAATTTTATGTTAATGGAGTTTAATATTATGGTAATTATTATTAATTATAAGGTTAATATATAATATTTGTATTATTATATTGTTCGTTTTATTCAATATAATCTTCTTTAAATTTATTTTCTATTAAACAAGCAGGAGGATTAAAATAAAATCTTTCAGGAGAAAATCTCTTTTTTCTAGACTATTTAATACTTATTAAGATATATTTAAATTTTATTCATTTATATTTCTTTACAAAGGACTAAAATATTAATATATTGATGTCTTTTATAATTATTAATCATCATTTCTTTTTAAATTTTATGCTTTTTATATTGATTATTATTCATTTTTATTTGCACTTTGTAATATACTTTATTAACTTTGTTCTGTTTCGATGAATTTTTTAAATAGTTTACTTGATTTTATATTATTTATATTTGCTATATTTTATATACTCTTGTCCATTTAAATAATTTATTTATTTTATCAGTTTATTTTTAAATATTTTTATATTAAAATATATATATTTATTATATTTTTTATATTTTATTGAAAAAACAACTTATAAGTTTTATTTAATTAAGAAAATTATTTTTATATATATGATATGTTAATTTTTTTTATTTTATATTTTAAAAATAATATATTTATTATTTTAGATATATTTTTATTTAAATAATTATTTTTTCGAAATATCTTTATTTATAGCCTTTATGCTTTTTATATAAAAATACATAAAAAAACTAAATTAGAAATTTTATATTATATATAATTTATATTTTTTTTATAAAAAGCTTTTTATTTATTTAAATTTACAATATAAACTTATATGTTTATTTTATATTATAGCATTTAAATTTTAGAGAATATATATAAAATAATATTTAAATCATCATTTAATGTAAATAATTTAATTTGTCTTAAATTAATATTTCTTTGTTATATTAATGTTTAGAAAATCTTATATCTTTTTATTTATTTAGTCATTTATTTTTTAACTTAAATATTAAGTTAAGAAATTCGAAAATTATTATTTAATTTTTGAATATAATTTTAATTTTTTTTTTTTCGTTAAAAAATTAAAAAGGCAGAATTTTTATTATTTACCTATTTTTAATTTAATTTAAAAAAAAAAAAAATTACAATAATAAATTAAAAAAAAAAAAAAGAAAAAAAAAAAAAAAACACTATTATTGAAAAAAATAAATAAAAAATGGATAAAAAATAAGTAAATAAAAAAATAAATATTATACTTATATTTACTTTTATTTAAAAAAACAACTATAAAAAACAGTAAAAATAAGATTGTCGATTTATTCCAAATCGCAAATGTACAAATACAATATATTCCCAATATTTTTTAAAAGAGAATATAAATCCCCAAACTTGTCAAATCTAACCCCCAAATCAACAGATAATAGACATATCTGACTAATCAATACTCTCTACATAATCCTAAAACATAATAAACGCAAACAATTAAAAATACGTTCAATTAATCGAAGATTCAATCCTAAATGATTAAAAATAATAATAATAACTAAACACTTCTTAATAAAATTCCTAGCGTTTATTATAATTTAAAAGCGAATAATCATAAAATTAATCATAATAAACCTATATATAATAATAATAATAAAATCCTTAATTAATATAAAAGAAAAATCAATAAAAAAATCGATTTCAATAAATAAGCTGTTTACCTGAAAAAATACTTGATGCTCCAAATTTAGAAGATGATTTTTACCTAAATATAATGGATTGGGGAAAATAAAATCTCGCAATAATTCTTAGTGATGAAATTTTTCTTTGGAACGACGGAAATATAGTAAATCTTTTAAAGTCTTCCGAAAATAAGCCTACTTCATTATAATTCTTACCCTCTAAACCAAATATATTAGCCATAGGATTTTCCGATTCTTCTATATAATTATGGGATACTGAAAAAGGCCAATAATTTAGGACAATGAAGGGTCACTTTTCAAGAGTAGGCTCCCTTTCTTGGAATCCATAGACCTCTTATATCCTTTCGAGTGGTAGTAGGGACAGCTAAATAATAAACCATGACATAAGACAACAAAAAATATCATATCTACCCTATAAGGACACGAATAGGAAGTTTGTGGATTAAAATGGTCTCCAGATGGTCTTAAAATAGCCTCTGGAAGTAACGATAACTCCCTAAGAATCTGGGACTTACACAAAAACATGGAAAACCTGCACCAACATAAAGCCGCTGTAAAAGCTATTTCGTGGTGTCCTTGGCAGAGGAATATTTTAGCGACTGGAGGTGGTGTAAACGATAAAAGTATAAAAATCTGGAACATAAATAATGGAGAAAAAACGACATGTATAAACTCAGTTTTTGTAGACAGCTAAGTGTGTAGTATTTTATGGAATCCAAACGATTTCGAATTAATCACTTCTCATGGTTTTAAGGAAAACTAAATTGTATTATGGAATTATAATAAAATAGGAGGTAAAATTTAATAAATAAATTCCTTTTATGGGCATACAAATAGAGTTTTACATCTAAATTTGGGACCTGATGAGGAAATGGTATGTTCTGCTTCGGCTGATGAAACATTAAGGTTTTGGAAAATTTTCGGAGGGAAAGATGATTTTGATGGCTATTAAAAAAAAAATAGTTAGGAGGAGTTTGTAGAGAATTTTTATATTAGATGATTACTCTTTCTTATTTTATTTAAAATTATTTATTTTTGTTTTTATTGTAATATATGTAATTTTTTTTATGGTTTTATGTATTTTTTTTAAAAAAATATATATAATATTTTTATTATTTTTTTTAATCAAATTAGTATTTTTTTTTTTTTTTTGGTAAAAAATGAAAGATTTTAGAAATAATTTTTTTTATTCAATTTTAAAATAAGGTTAAGGTTTTGAAAAGAGAATATTCCTTTTAAATCATAAATAATAAAAAATATCATTTTGGCATGATATATAATTATTCCCAGACTCAAAAAATCCAAATATATGTATAGAAATTCCCTAGCATACACTATCTAAATTAGAAGTTTGTAAATAAGAACTTAATAATCCCATAAAACAAGATACTAGGCAAAATAAATTCAACAAATAAGAAAAAGAATTAAGATTTTATGCCCAATTTCCATTATTTAATTATGGATATTTTCCTTAAACATGGGAAAGTACATTAATTTCAACAAAAGAAGGTTTTTTTGTAAAAAAAAAAATATATATAAAAAAAAAATGTTTATATAAAAAAAGGGAGATGATGATCCTTTAGATATAGTAGATTTAAGTTTACCAGATAAAAAAACTGGCGATATTTATTAAGTGAATATTTTAGGTTGTTTCTGTCTTATTGATTAAGGCGAAGTTGATTGGAAAATAATAACAATAAATAAATAAGAAGCACTTTAAAACAAAGTAATTATAAATATATATATATATATATATATATATATATATATATATTTATATTTATATTTATTAAAATAAATAAGATTGAAAGTTTAAAAGATATAGAATATCATTAACCTGGAAGAATTAAATCAATTAAAAATTGGTTTAAATTTATTAAAGTTTATGATGGGAAAAAACCTAATATTATACATTATAATGAATAGATTTTTGATTAAGATAGAGCTTTAGAGGTTATTCATGAAAATCATATTTTTTGGAAATAATTATTCGATAAAAATTTAAATAGTGAAAAATTAATTTAAAAAAGAAAAGAATTTAATATTTAATATTGAAAAAAAATATTTAAATTATAGAAAAAAAATTAATTTTAGTAAAAAGCTTAAATTATTTTAATAAATTTTCTTTTTGTATTAAAATTTATATTTGTTATATTTTTTTATTTTCTTTTTTCTTTTTTATTAATTTTTATACGTTTTTATTTTATTTTTTTAATGAAATAAAACAAAAATAAAAAACAATAAAACGGTAATTTTAAATGCAGTTTTTAAAAATAAGTAAAATATCATTAATAATTACTAAAAATAAAAGTAAAAATTATTATTATTTATTAATAATTAATTAATATATCATTAACAAATAATATACTTTTATTTTTTTAAATAAAGGAAAAAAATAAAAAATATTATTAATATATCATTAAATAATAATAAAAAAAAATGAAAAATTTTATATTTTTAACAATAATATTGTCATTAACATTATAACCTATAGTTTCACTATCTTCATTACCAAAATAAAGCAAATTATTACACACTTCACTAAAATTAGAAACAACACATTTAGGTAGGGCTTTACTTTCTATGGTACAATTAGGAAGTAATGTATCTTACGAATATGAAGATTTATTCAATGCAATAAATGATTTAAAAAACTCTTTGTATGAATCAAGAAATATCGAAAAAGATTTATATGAAAAGCAAGAAATAACACATAATAATATAATATATTAATTCTAGGCAAAGATATAAGAATTAAATGAAGAAGTAAATAAAAATATGAATTTATATTTATAAAATAAAATACATAAATTTATTATAATAAAGTTAAATAAATTAAATATTACTTTAAACCACAAATTAGATGAATAGGAAAACGAAAATAAAAATTTAGAAAAATAAAAAATAATGCATACAGACACATTAAATTAAATAGATTCTATTAAATTATAAATTGATTAGCTTAACTAAAAATTCAATGATGATTAAAACAATTTATAAACTTCTATAGAAGCTTTAGAATAAGCAATTGTTTTATTAAGATAATCTTAAATGTATTTTAAATATATAAATAAAAAAATATATATATATAAATAAATATATATATTTATATATGCTTATACATATATATATTTATAATATTTTTTTCTTTTTTTTTACTAATTTTATTTAAATAAATTTATTTGTTAATTAAAAAAAATTTATCAATTTATCGTTTAGTTTTATTAATTAACTATATAAAATATAAAAAAAAATATTTTATTAATATTTATATATTTTTTTATTTTAAAATTAGACATTTAGAAAATTCTTAATTATCAGGATTAGTTTAAATTAGAAAATAATATTAAGATTTAAGCTAAAAACTTACTTAAGTTGTTAAAAATTTTAGTAAGGATGTTCTTTTAATTGCAAAACCTGCTCTTTCTGTTTTGGCTTAATTAAATTCTGAAACTGAATAATCAACTATTTTATTAGCTATATCAGTCCTTGTTGATGTTTCTTAATATTTGAATTAAGGACATAATTAACTTAAAGTTACCTATTAAGATAAAATTTAATTTTTAACGAATGAATTAACTTCTTAATAAAAAATTGAAGAAAATTTAAGAACTGTTATAATTCCTAATATTGAAAGTATACTTAATTCGCTTTAATGTAATTTTTTTTTTTTTTTTCTATTTTTTTTTTTTTTTTTTTTTTCTTAAGTGGAAATTATTAGTCTTTTAGATTTAGTTGACTCTTTAAATGTTTAAATTAAAGAAACTTAAAATAATTTAGATGAAGAAAATAGATTATGGGATTTAAGAACAGAAAGACATAATATTTTGATTAAGAAATTTAATTAAGAGTATATTTTTTTTAATTTTTTTTTATTTTTATTTTTTTTCAGAATTGAAATTGTTGAATAAGCTATTGATGTACTTACAGATGCTTATAAAAGAAATTTATCTGAAAATTGATTTTTTTTATATATATTTTATTTTATAAAATAAAATTATTATTCTACATTATTATTAGCATTAAAAATTATTTACTTAAAAAACAAAAATTATAATTATAATTTTTTTTTTTTTCTTTACTTTATTAATAAATTATAATTTTTTATTATGAAATATTTTACTAAATTAATATAATGGTTTAATTTTTTTAAAAATAAAAACATGTCTTGATAATATGAAATTTAGTTTATAAATAATAATTTTTCATTTGAATATTCAATTTCTTTTATTTAAACAATATAAAATATAATTTTTTAAAAAAATAAAAAAAAAATTAATTAATAAATAAAATCATTGTATTTGGAAAGGAGAATCAAAATGTAATTAATATATATATTTTTTTTCAAATATAAAAATATGATTAATGAAAAAAAAAATACTTAAATTAATTAAATTTTATATATATTAAAATAGATTAAAAAAGATAAGTTTTTATTTTTTTTAAAAAAAAATTAAATAAATGTATTAATTTTTAATAATAATTTAATAATAAACAATAATTAACATTAAAATCTACCTATAAAATATAAAATACTAATTAAATTTATCTTTAAAAATACTTTTATCAAAAAAAAAGTTATAAATAGAATAAATAACTGTATTTTTTTTTTATTTTAACTTGAGTTGTTAAACATTTAATTTATTAATAGATAATATCTTTTTAAATTTTAAATTTAATTATAATAAAATAATTAATATGAAATTTTATAATATATACAATGGTTTGATATATAAAAATATTTTTAAAATCTATAAAATCATTTATTTTAATGTATGCATGATTTAAAGAAATAAGTAAATTTTTTATAATTTTATGTAAATATTTTTTTAAAGAAATATATTTTTATAAAAATATTTCATAAAAAAAAATTATATTATTAAATATTATATATTAATATTCATTAAAATATTAATAATAAATAACAAAAAATATTTATTAAACCGAAACAAATTTATAGATCATAATAATTATAAATAACAATTTTTTAAAAACTTCGAAAATAAAAGTGAATAAAAATAATAATTCAGATAAATTTTATAAATTATATATTTTGATAATTAGATTTATTTTAACAAAAAATTAATAATTTTTGGAAATCTAATAAACTTATTTTTTTTTAATAAAAAATAGGAATAATAGAAGTTTTCCTTGTAAATTAAAATAAAAAAAAAATTATTTGAGGATAAGCTATTATTGTTTTGATATATTAATACAAAATATTAATTTATATTTAAATATAATAAGCAAAATACTAATTAAAAAATAAATATTACAGTTTTATGATCTTGGATAAATAATATATAAAATTAATTATGAAGAGGAGTTGATTTTTAAAATGCTTAAACATATTTAAACTAGAAGTATTTTTTTTTTAAAAATAAAAATATATTTTAATAATTTTATTAATTTTGAAAAAAAATATAGAAAAAATAGATATTTAAATAAATAATAAAAGCTTTGTATGATAAGAAAAAATATAAAAAAAGAGTTTATAATATATAAAATTATTATATATTTTCTTTTTTATAATATTAACATATATATACATTTCTATTCTAAATAATAGAAATTAAATATATAAATTTAAATTATTTGAGATATGATAAATAAGAAAATATTAAGAAAAAATAATAGTTTTTCTAAATATCCCTCTTGTTATTAACTTTTATGCTATATAATAATTATTTATTTGATTTTCACATTTTATTTTATAAATCTTTAAATAATTAATATAAAATAAGCTAAAGACAACTAATTTTTTTTTTAAATAACAGTAAAACAATAAAATATAAAAAAAATTAAAAAAATAAAATAAAGGTAACATTAATTGTAGTATTTACAATTTGTTTGATATAGCTATTATTTTCTGGATTTGTTACATGTTATATAGATCCAACAGATCCTCTAGCAATTTAGTAAAAGGAAGCAACACTAAATAAGTTTGAATTTTTTTTAATTAATAAAAATATAAGAATAACTTTAAAATAATAATAATAATTATAAAAAAATATTAATAATATAATATAATTTTCTTATATATTATATTATAATAAGTGAAAAAAGCATTTCAATAAAAGTAAATTTTTATTGTTAATATTGTTATGTTTACGTAAATCAGCAAACAAAGCATTGTTAAAAATGCAAAAGGTTATTTTATTTAAATAAAAATTAATAAATATATAATAGTTTATATATTTATCTATTATATTAAATAATAAAGATGTGTGAATAATTTTGACCATCATTGTAAATGGATAAATAATTGCATCGGATAGAAAAATTATAGGTGGTTTATTTATATGATTGTTTCAGTTTGGCTTTTTATGTTATTATATATAATTAGTAGTGTTTTTATAATATAAATATATTAGAAATAATCTAAGATTTATATAACTTAAGAGTAATTTTATTTAAATTGTATTGGGAATTCTTTGAGTAGTTTAGTTTTTATTTTTATTACTTAATTAATAATTTTCCATATATATTTATTCTTTAAATAAATTACGACTTATTAATATATAATTTAGTAAAGAAATAAAAAATAAAATATAGTTTTTCCAATTAAAATAGATATCAAAAATAGTTATAATAAAAAGAAATAAAAATCAATTATAGATAGCAAAAAATAAAAAGATTAATTTAATTAATAATTTAAATTTAAAAAAGATAGTTAAATTGATAAAGAAGAAAAAAATAATATAAAAACATAAAAAATATAAAAAAAATAAAAAATAAATAAAAAATAATAATATTAATAATAATAATAATAATAACAATAATAATAAATATAATAAATAAAATAGTTTTAATAATAATAATAATAATAGAAAGATAATATTGAAATTAATAATTAATCGTATAATGAAACTGAAGTAAATTATATTTTTTATTGTGTTTTAAATATTTGTTTATATATAGAAATGTATGTAAAAAGATTTAGATTAATAAAATACAAGTAAATTAATTTACAAAAGAAACATTTTTAATTTAATAAAATCGTAAACTAATTTATCTTATTAAAATACAAACATAAATTTTACAAATCATTCTAGATCTTTAACATTTAAAAATAATATTTAAAAAAATGTATAATAATAATTTTAAAAATGATAAAAATATATTAGTTTTATTGATTATTAATATATATATTATTATTTTTTTCAATGTTTTTAATAAAAGAATATTTTTAATTTCATTATTTAAATTAATAATTATAAAGAAAATAATTATAAATATATTTAATTTCTAAATTATTAATAACAAATCTTGTATAGTAAATTATAAAATAAATATAGACTATTTAAACAATATAATTATTTTTAATAGCTAAATTTAAAATTATAAAATGAAAGATAAAGTAATAAAACTATTTTTATATTAAATAATAAAAAATTATAAGTTAAAATAAAATATAAATATATCTAAACTTATAATATATAAAATTATAACATATAATTAAATAGAATTTTTAAATTGATTGAATTTAAAAATGAATTTCATTTAATGTTTTTTTATAATATAATTTTTATTTATATTTATAAATATTATATATAATAATAATATACAAAATTCTTATATTATTTAATATAAAATATAAAAAAGTTATTATAAATTATATAAATATTATAACTTATAATGTTCAAATAAATAAATTATTAAATATGTATTTTATTATCTAATTAATCATAAAATTTTAATTAAAATTTTTAAAATTTCGATTTAAAAATATACTGATAGTACTATTAATAAAATTATTTTACATTTTATTTTATTTTACATTTTTAAATAAAAAAATAATATATATATATATTTTTTCATTAAAAAAAATAAATGATAAACATTTTAAACAAAAGTCTATTATAATCTAAGTTAAATTTATTTTCTTTAGATTTTAAAGATCAAATAGAGAACAAATATTATAATGATATAAAAAACGAGCAAAACAAATACATATTTTAACGATTAACCATATCTTCATTATTATGGCAATTCATAAGTTTTTTTGTTTAAAAGTTTATCTATGATTAAATTTTAGAATCATCAATTATTTTAATAAATCTTGTTGTTTTCTTAATATTATTATATTTTTTTTAAAAAAATAAGATTGTTTTTAATATTCTGTTATTTTTGGAAAGTTCTATATATGAAATAATTAGATTTTTAAATTTGTATTAATTAAAAACAGATTATATAAATGACTCTTAAAGCCATAATATATATATATGCTATGGATTTGGAATGTGTGTATATATATTTATTATGGGAACGCTTTTTAATAATTGGTATTTAAAAACTTTAAAAATTGCAATTCCTTTATTGATTATGCCTTTTATAGAAGGATATTAAAACTATTCAATTTAGTTATTTTGTGCTCATTTAATATACGTAAGCTTTGTTGGATTTGTACATTACTTTTTGGAAAGAAATAGTAAACAATAATTTCATTTGGAATATTTTTAAAAAATAAAATTAATGGAATATAAAAAGATTTTTGAAAAATATTTACCAAACGAATTAGTAGTAATTTCTAAAGAAAAATAAACAAATGAAAATACATGTAAATAAAGAAAAGCAAATTCAATTTTATAAACATAAAAGAGTTTGAATAATTTTAATTTTAATATTGTAAATAATTTTTAAAACAAAACTTAATTATAGCCAAATAGAGTTAAAAAGGAATTATATTAATCAAATAGTTATGTATTAAAAAGCAGTAATGATCACAATTTAAATTAAATAAAAGAAGATAAAAATTAAAAAATATAATGTTTTATTAATAAAAAATAAAATTTTAGCTCTATTTTTTATTAATAATAAATTTTATAAAAATAATAAGAGAGTTGTATTGAAATTAATAACGATAATTCATTAATAATTCCGTTAATAAATTAAAAATTTATTTCCACATTTTCTGATGTCAAAAATTAAATATTAAAAAAATTAAATAAAATTTTCAAAAATAAAATAAGTATATATTAAATAATTAAATCTTTATTAAAAAAATCTGAATAACATGACTAAGAATAAGATAAAATTTATTAATAATTATAATAATATAAAAAATATATAAACAATGATAATTTATGGTCATCATAAAAAATTAAAAATGAAAATGACAAAGAAAAAATTAATAAGAATAAGATTAATCTATATAAAATGACTAGATATATGAAATAGTAGAATGTTATGATTTAGAATAAGAAAAATATTTTGATATTACTATTATATGTTTACATTGGGATGGATTAAAATCAGTAATGGTATTATTAAATAATATTTCTGACACTATCATAAATAAGAGATTAGAATAGGTATAAAAACATAAAGATTTAACATTAGCTTCTATTACTCATGATTTAAGAACTCCTTTAAATTTCATAAAAATATGTTCAGAATAATGTTAACAGGAGAATATATTAGAAAATATATATTAATTATAAAATTTAATATAAATTAATTGTGAATTATTAATGAGTTTAATAAATGATATATTAGATACTTAATAAATATAAGTAGGAAAATTTAGATTAGTAATAAGTAATTTTGAATTACAATAATTATTTTAATAAATATAAGAATTATTTAAAATATAATGTAAAGAAAAGAATATTAATATATAATTTTAATTAGAATCTAATTAGTTATTTAATTCTGATAAAAATAGAATTAAACAAATACTAATAAATCTAATATCTAATGCAATTAAATTTACTTAAAATGGAAAAATAGATATATATGCCTATAGAATTCCACATAAAAATATTATTGCTATAAGTGTTAAAGATACTGGTTGTGGTATTCCTTCTTATTTATAAAATAAACTTTTCTCAGTATTTAATACTTTTGATCATAATAATGGAACTAATAAATAAGGTAATTTTTATATAATTCATAAAATAAAATAAATAATATATAAAATATTTAAAGGGGTTGGTATTGGATTATCGTTATGTAAAACATTAGTTTCATAATTAGGCCCTATTGATAAAATATTTTTAAAATCAGAATAAAATTAAGGATCTATATTTACTTTTCTTTTATATGAAGATATGAACAATTAAGTAGGAGTTAATATAGATAATAATGATATCTAGTCAATTTAAGAATTTTAATAAATTTATTTATATGGAGATAATATAAGTGAGATTATTCAAGAATATAGCAATTTTAAGAATGTTGATTGTATAGATTAAAAGATTAAAAGATATAATAATAAAAATCTAAAAAATGATTCAATTGAAAAATATGATTTAAGTTAAAAAAATTAAAAAAATGATTTAAGTATATAAAAATAATAAAATAATTAAAATATGAGTATAAATGATATATGTCAATTATAAAAAAATTAAAGTCTTGATAATAAAATATAATTTGAATAATTTTTTTAAAAAATACTTATTGTAGATGATATGTGCTTTAATATTATAGCTCTTAAATATTTTTTTAAAATATATAATATAAAAATTGATACTGCTATAAATGGATTAGAAGCGTATAATAAATATAAAATAAATTAATATAAATTAATATTAATGGATTTATAAATGCCTATTATGAATGGACATGAATCTATTAAATTAATTAGATAATTTGAAAAGGAATTTAATATTAATCCATCTATTATTATTGTAAATAGTGCTAATATTAATTAAGATGATATTTAATAAAGTGTAGATTGTGGTGCAGATTAACATATTGCTAAGCCTGTTGATACTTAAAATTTAAGATAATTATTATAAAAATACGCATTTGCATATTGAAGTCTAAATAAAAAATTTTCCATTATAAAAAAGTTATATTGATAGTGATATTTATGTTTATATTAAATAACATTATATTTCATTTATAAACAAATCAAAATTAAAAACACTTTAAAAATATTTAATAAATAAAATATTAAGATAATAGAATATTATTATAATAATAAAATATATATATTTATAAAGATAATTTATATAAACTAATATAAATTAGTAGCAGTAATATTTATAATAAAAATTTTTGAAAATACATAGAAATATATTATATTTATTAATTTAGTTAAACGAAATTACAAATATAAAATTATTAAATAATTAAATAGTAAATTTTTAATGAAATTAATTAATATAAAAAAAAAAAAATTATTATATATTATTTATAAATAATAAATTTCATAGGAAATTATAAAATTTTTATTTAATTAATATAATAATTATTTTTTACATTATTAAACAAAAAAAATAAAATAAAATAAATATTAATAAAATTAAAATATATTAATAAAAAAAATCAAAAATAATATAAAAAATATTATTTATTATTTATTTTAAAAAATTAAAATAATAATATGAAATATTTATAAATTAAAAAAAAAATTAAATAAAAGTGATGCATTTAAAAATATATAATTTAATACATATATATAAATATATATATATATATATATATATATATATATATTTATAATAATATATATTTATATACAAACATATATAATTAAATATAAATTTTTTTATTTAATCATTTAAAATAATATCCAAAAATACTTAAACAATTTAAATCCTCAATCTACATCTTAAATATTTATCTTTACTAAAATACAGCTATTTTCCTAAAAATCTAAAGCTTTATTTCTTAAAGGAACAATTCTATATCCTGGTCTTATAGTATCAACAGGTAAAGCATATTATCCAAGTTATGTATCTAAAAGAATATCGCTATCCATAACTCTAAATATTAATAAGCTCAATTCAGGACATCTTAATTTAAACTCAAAAATTTTACTATTCCATATTGGATGAAATCCATTATCACTAATAATTCTTGTTTTTCTCGGTTTATTATTTTTTTCATCTTTTTAGGTCCCTCTGATAAATATTTACACATAAGGATCAACTACATCAAAAGTATCATTTTCGTAATTATCTGGTCTTAATTATTAGCCAGAAATTATTTATATTTATAGTATTTTTCTTACTTTATCTATTTCAAAAGGGTATATCCCATTTTAATTATTATTAGTATTATTTTAAATATTTTAGCATTTGTTTATATTATTATTACTGTTGTATAAATCATTAATATTTGTGTTTTAATAATTACAGTTTTATTACATGTATTTGTGTTTTAATACATATCCACAACTTATGCCTCCATTTTCTTAAAATTTCGATAAATTTAAAAACATAGGGAAATCGTTTGTTTGAAAATTCAAAGCTACTTGCTAAACTCCATGTATGAAAAAAGGAATTGGATCATAGTTTGAAGAATCTAATCTCAAACAACATGGATAAACCCTTAAAAAGTGTTTTTTATTAAAATCTATGAATTCTTTTGGATGCTTTTTAATAAGTTTATTGGAGTAAATTTCAGATATAGAGCTAACTTACCAAATGAGGCGATTATCATCAAAAATATTCAATTTACAACCGAACAAAGTAGAAATTCTTAAAAATTCCTTACAAAGTTGTATCGTTTTATTATTTTTTTGTTCTACTTTTAATTAATTAATTTCTTTTAATTTTTATAAATCTGCTAAATTCTAATTACATGTTTTATTTTATATTTCTTTTTATTTTATAATATCTTAGTATAATATATCATCAAAGTAAGCATCTTCATAGTTTTATTATGGTTATTATTATAAATTATTAATAAAATTAATATCATTATTATTATTACTATGATATCTATTATTATAACTATCATTAACATTATAGTTATAATTATAATTAAAACTATTTTCATTATTATTCTAATTATTATTATTATTATAATTATTATTATTATTATTATTATTATTATTAATATTATTATTAAAAAAATTTTAATACTATTATACATATAATATTTTTTAATTTTCATTTATAATTTTTTTTAATTAGTTTTATTTTTATAAATACATTTTAAATTTAGTACCTTAATTATTAAAAGTTTCCTTTGAAATTTCAGATTCAAGATAATTAGGCATATATTCACTATTTTTAGACAATATATTCAGATCATTTTCACTATATATTTCAAAATCATCTTCATTTACATCTTAAATTATAAACTAGTCTATATTTAATTTAATATCTTGAATAGAACCTTTTGATTTTATTAAAATCTTATTTTTCAATTAATTTGGAGACAAAAAATTCTCTTATTTTTCCCAATCATTTGGTAATATATAAAGTTTATCTTTTAATATATTCATAATCATGAATGAAATTATTTTTTATTAATTTATAGAACAATGATTTTCGAAAGATAAAATTAAAGGATATATTGAATATTAAAAAGCATATTAATTTATTGTCTCTAAAACTGTTTTAAATGGAATTTTAGTTGTTAATGTATGACCATGTGTTACTATTGGTTCTCCTTTATCACCATCCTTTAAAAATATATATGTATATATAAATATATATATATATAAATATATATATATATTTATATATTATTATAAATTTATAAATATTTTAATATTTTTCTTTTATTTTTTATAATAAATATATAATTATTTTATTATTTTTTTTTAATATATTAATATAACCATAATTTATATTTTATTAGTAAAAAAACCCATATGTCTATCTCCACGCATCTACATCCTTTTTAAAAAGCATTTATATATGCTTAACATGATGAGTTTCCTGAAAATTAATTAGATTCTAAATATGTATTATGTGAAGAATTTATAAAATAATCTGTTAAAGGTCGATCCATATCCTATTTATATACATTTTTTAAAAAAAGTCTTATTATTTAAATAAAAGTACTTAATAAATTGTCTATTTTTTAGGAATAAAAATACAGTTTTCATCACTAAATAGTATATTAGAAAATTAATAAAAGGAAATTTTTAATAAACTTAATAGTTTTGCAGTATCTAAATTATTATCTTAATAGTTCAATATTTATTTAAAAAAATGAACTATTTCTTCTAAACTTAAATCCTATTATTATTCAACTTTATAAAATTATTAATATTAAATAGGATTCATAACACCTAAATGCTCTTATTATTCATCTTTTTTTTAAAATAAAATAAAATATATAAATAATTTTACATTTATTATATTATGGACAATATTTAGTAAATATTTCTATTAATTCTTCTTTTTTATTTATATCTCTTATAATATTAACGAATTCTCCCTAATCGATTTACCCATTTTTATTAACATCATATTTATCAAAAAGATTATTTAAATATTTCTTATTAATATTTATATGCAATTCTTATAAAAGAGTTTTTGTTTCTTCAAAATCTAATTATTTATTACCGTCTTTATCTGCATTTATAAATAAAATATTTGCCAAATGTTTTACTTAATCTTATCTTTTTTCTCTATTTATTTATTTAGAAATATATATTAATATTCTTTTTTTTATATTTACAAAAAATCATGTTAAAAAGATTTAATTGCAAAATACTATATTGAATATTGGAAATAATCTCTTTCTTATTCGCAATAAAATTCTAAAATTAAATGCATTTTTACAGTCTAAATCTTAAGTATCCTATATTAATTTTATTTATTATTAAATTCAGTTTGTCTTGATATATCCACTATATCATTTAAATAAATTCTAGATTTAGTATATTTTTTGTTAGGGGATATCCATTATAGAATTCTATAGTCATCATCTAATATATAAAATATTCTCCAATGCTTTTTTTTACCTTTAGAATAATACTTTTCGATTTTCATTCCATATGTTATTTAATTTAAAGCATTTGGTAGCATTTTTTCGTCAAAATATTCTAGCTTAAATTTTATGTCTTATCTTTTATTTAAAAAATGCTTCATTTAAATATTTATTGAATTTTTTTTAAAAAATTAGTGTTTTATAGTATTTTTTTTATATAATAATAATAAAAATTATTAATCGAAAATATTAAACTGAATAAAAATCCATATTAATATATATTATTTATTTATATTAAAAGAATAAATTATTTATATTTAAATAAAATAAAATTATGAGTTTAGTTTAAATTTTAATTACTTTTACTTGAAAAAAAAAAAGTATTCAGATATTATAAATAATATTTTTTTAAAAAATATTTTAATTAAAAAAAAAACTATATATATATATTATTATATATTACTTTTTTATTTTATTTAATTTTATTTTTTAACAATATGTTGATAAAAAAAAAAAACTAATGTATAAAGGTTTTCTTTTTTTTATTAAAATAACAGAAAAAATAAAAAATAAAAAAAAACATTTAGTAAGTAATATATATTCTTTTATGTTTATATTTGTATTTTAAATTATATATATATATATTTATATTTTTTAATGTTTTTTTTTAATCTTTTCTGTATTTTTTTTTTAGAAATTCTAAATTAATAATAAATAAGGATATAATTTTATTTTATTTTCTTTTATTTTTTGATCATTGAGTTTTTTAAAAAATAAATAAAGAGAAAAAAATAATAAAAAAAAACATCAGTATAATAACTTGTAATAAATATTTTTAATATGTTTCTAAAAATTTAAGAAAAAAAAAATAAAAAAAAAATTATTATAATCATATATTTATTTGTAAAATTTATATACATTTATATTAATATTTTTAAATATTATATTATTTATTTTTCTAGCTTACTATAAATTGTTTTTTATTTTTTCAATTAAATCTTATTGAAAATATAAAAAATAATTACTAAAAAATAAAAAATAAAATATCTCAAAATGACACATTCTTTAGAAATATTAGACGAAGGATTAGAATACAACTTCGTTTTTAAATCAATACTATTCGATAAATTGAAAAAATTTATAGGTATATATTACTGAATTAAAGATATAAAAATTACATTATTTTTTTTTATTATATTTAAAAGAATTAAATAATATTTGTAAATACAATAATGAAGTAATTGTATATAAGCATCTAAAAATAAAAGGACTTTAAATATAATATTATAGTGAAAAAGATGCAGTTGTAATTTCGTAAAAACATTTTATTTTATTTTCATTTATTTATTAAATTATCCTATGTTTATATTAAAAAATAGAAAAAAAAAGAAAAATATCTAAATCCATATAAATTTGCGTATCATATATGGGAAAAAATTAATATTTAAATGAAATATTATAATGGATTTAATTGTATAAGAAAAAAATAAAAATATTTTACTAAAATTAAAAATATATTTAAATCTAAAAATAAAAAAAATTAAAAATAGTTACTGATGTTTGTTTCAAATGTATATAAATTACACCTACCTTTTTATGTTTCAGATAATATTTTTAAAGTTTGGATTAAAACATTTCCTTTCGATTATCCTATTTAGATTTTTGCGATAATGTTGAAGATTTAAATAACTGTAACTCTGTTGTATATAGTTTTTAAGTAAAAATATCTCTGTTTTATATAAATTTATATAATAGTTTTTCTTTTTTCTTTGTATATTAAAATTAAATTTATTTATAATTTAAAAATACTTATCTTTTTATTTTATTTTTAAACAAAAAAAAGGATCTAAGTTCTTTAGGATCTAATTTACATATAAAACCAAATAATCTTTTTAATATAAACTTATGTATAAATTTAATAGAACCTCAATAATTTATAAGAGTAAAGATTATAAAATGATTTTTTTTATTTTCAAACAAACAAAATATTATTTACTCTTATTTTTTTTATTCAAAAAAAAAAAAAAAAAAGTAATTAAAAGTAGAATTTGAAGTTTCTTTTATTTTAAATAGAATTTTTCAATTAGAATTAACTGATTTTATGAGTTAAAATCAAATGATTATAAGATTAGTATTTTTTTATTTTTTTATAACAAAAAATTATTAAAAAAACAAAAAAAGTTTCTAAAATTTATTTCATTGATACCTTGTGAATCCTAATATACTCTTTTAGCACATAAAGAATTACCTAATTTAAAAGCTAAAACAAATAAAATATATTAATATGAAATAGTTTCATAAATATAGCTATCACTATCATATGTAAAATAGAATTAAGTAATAAACTTTATATTTTATAAATATAATAAAAATTAATTAAAATAGATAACAATAAATTAAAGTAATATTTTTTAAGTAATACACCCAATTAAATTCAATAATTAAAACTCGAAAATAATTTGGAGTTCATTTAATATATTTAAAATCTTCTTTGAAAATATAGCCAATGTAACTATAAATGATGGATATAAATTAGCGATTTTTTTCTATAATAATTATTAAGACATAGAAAATTTTCTTATCTCATGTATAAACTATGTTTATGTTATTTATATAATATAAATAATTACAATAAATTTGAGTTAATAAAGCATTATTGATTTTAATGAAAATTAAGTTAATTTTAAAGTAAAATTATTGGAAGATACTATAAATTAATATTAAAAAGATAATACTATTTTAGAATTACCAGAATTAAAATAACCTATATAATTTTAAATTTGTTAATATTTTTAAAATTAAGACTAACCAAACGAATTATCATTATTTTATATAAGTAGAATATATTTTATTTTAATTTTTTGTTATTTTTATTTTGTTAGAAATTGGATAATAACCTGAATTTAGTTTTTTTGAAAATGAACTTCTATTTTCTATCCTCAAATATAAGAAACTTAATAATAAAAATATTTAATTAATCTTCTTTTATTTGCTTAATTATATAAATAGTTTAATCCTTAAGTTTAAAAAAATTTCTTAACTTTTAATCGTGAAGTATTTTTTTTTTTTTATTAAACCAAAAATAAAATTTAATATAATAAAGGTTATGATATTAAGTTAAGATTTTTTCTTTGATTACTCAACTCTTAATATTTCAAAATAAAAGAAACAATATATATCTATATAAAAACTAGATGTATATTTTAATATTAATATTTTATATTTATTTCATTTATAAAAAGTTTAAACATATTTAAAATAATGTAAAATTTTCAAGTAATAAAAATTAAATTGGTAAAATAGAACATGATACTTTATGTATTTGGAATAAAAAAATTAATTTCCAAGACTAAATTACAGACGCATAAATATAGGAATATTGTTAAAGTTTACTTGAATATTCTTAACTTAAATAATAATAAATATGATTTAATTATATTTTGTAAAATTTAAATAAACAAGTTATAAAATTTATGTATTATCAAAATCTATTTATATGTATTTTTTATAAATATAAAAAATATATTTTTCGAAACAAAACCTTTTTTTATAATAAATTAATAATATCAATTAGAAAGATAATCTAATAAACAATATTTTTTTTTTTTTTTTTTCAGAAAATAACTTTATTTTCATATTAATATTTATCAAGTTCAAGTTTGTTTTCTAGAAATATAACTTCTGAATTTTAATTATTATTTTTATTAAAGAACATATTTTCTTAAAGTAATTCTAAATGTATACATTTTAAAGCAGATCTTTGAGCATTTAAAAATTCTATATTTCTTTAAATTTTTAAAAGAGTATTTTTTATATATTCATTAACAAAAGGATGAAAATATTCCACATTTTATTATTATTTATTATTTAAATAATCAACTAAATTTTTTCTAAAGCTTTTATGAGAAATAAGATATTAATCTTTCATAGGTCCAATTTTAAGATTTTTTCTTTATAAAAGTTAAGCCAAAGATTTTTTAAGAAAATTTTCTAATTAATTATTTTTATTTATTTCAAGTTTCATATTATTTGACGACTTTTTTTTTTAAAAAAAAAAAATAAATAAATAAAAAAATAAAAAGTTAAGATATTTATTTTATACTTAAAGAATTATTTATTTTTTTATATAAATATCACATTCTGGATTAAATAAAGGCTAAAGTCTTAATGGAAATAATTATTTTGTTTTATTAGATTTGTTATATACTTATCCTTATTAGATTTATTTTTATTTATTTAATTTATAGTCCTAATTATTATATATATTCAATGAATTTTACTAATCATCTTCTTCTGGAATCATTAAATTTATTTCATTTTCTTCATCTGAAGAAATAATATATAGGGAAGAATCTATTAATTTATCCATTTTAAGCTTATCTTTTTTTTCTTATTTTATAATTTCTATTTCAAACCTCCGCTTTTCAAAAAAAATTAATAAAATAGATATAAAATAATCATATATACTTTAAAATTATTTTTTAAATAATCTGTTATCATTTTTTTCAAGCTGCTATTAGCTTATTCATATTAATTTAAAACCATTCTATTATGATAATATTAAGATTTTTTAGCATTTCCTTAATAAAAATAAATTTTTCCAAATAAATCATATGAGTGCAACTCATTATTTATATTTTCACACAACCAACTCATATGCAAATATTTAACACAATAAATGTAGGCAATCTTTAATATTTAAATAAAAAAAATTATAATATATAAAAATTAAGTATATATGTATATAAATATATTTATATATTTATATAATATATTATATATATATATTTATATATATATATATAATTTATTATATATATTTTTATATATATATATAATTATTTTACATCATATTTCTCTACTTACATATATGCCTTAGTCAAATATTTATAAGCCTTCATTAAGTATTCATACTAAATATTTAAAAATGCTATTTTTTTGAAACTTCTAAGTATTTGAATAGCCTCTAAACATAATTCTAATTCTATAAGAATTTTAGCCATCTAACAAAAGACAAAAATTTAAAAATGATATTATTATTTGAATTTTTATAAATATTTGAAATGCTAATCAATTAATTTTTTTAAATTTTCTCTTGTTTTTTTTTCTTATTAACATTTTTAAACAAAAATTAAAGTCTATTCACATATTTCTTGATTTTAATTATAAAAAGATATTACTAATTAGTCTTCATGTTTTATTTTCGAAGAATTTTTTATATTTTCAATATCTTAGGAAAACAAAAGGAATATATCTTGCCCATGTCTTATTTTTTTTTTTATTATTAATCTTATTAGATCTTCCTTTAATACTGGTATTCTGATTCTTTCAAAAAGCGAACTTTTTAATTTTATGTTTTTACATTAGCACTTTAATATCTTAATTTTTAAAACTTTGATTTTTCTTAAAATATACTATTTTATTCTTGATCTATTTGTTTTTTTTTTGGTATTATTTTTATACTCGTTTACAAATTAGATTAATCCTCTAAAAAATTCTAGTTTTTTAAGTTTCTTAGTCTCTCTGATGAAAAGTTTTTTCTTAAACTTTAAAAATTTTAGGTATTTTCTTTCATTATTAAATAATATTTTTATTTTTTTTCATAAGATTTAGCTTTTCGTTGAAGTATACTAATTTACTTCTCTATTTGTTTTTCATATTTAGGTGTTTCGATGAATTCTTTATTTTACTTTCAGTAGTGCATATTTATGTGTTACTATAATAGTCTTAATTTAATGTTTCACCTGTAATTGATGTCGGAATATTTCTATTTGTAAAATAAAGAACTTTACTTTATGTTTAAGAAGATTATACAGGTTGATTATATTAATTTCTTGGAGAACGTTTCGTACTTTCTCTTGTCGAAAGCATTTTTTTAAATGAAACTTAGGAAGATACTAATGACATATTGTTATTTACTTTTAAATTAGCGAAAAATTCTTACATTTATTAATATATAATTATAAAAATTATTTTTAGTTTATATGTATTATAAATTATTATTAAATATATTTTTTTTATTTTTATTAAAAAAAAATATGTTAAATAATATATATATATATAATTTATATTTTATATTTTTTTTTTTGTTTCAATGTTTTAAAAATTAATATATATTTCCTATTAAAGATTTGTCTTTATTATTAATATTTTATATACTTCTTTATGTTTTTTAAAATGGAGCATTTTATATAAACTTTCTAATTAATTGTTTATAAATAAAAATATATATATAATAATATATATATAAATAGATATATAAATAAATATATTTATATTTATATTTATATTTATATTTATATTTATATTTATATATATTTTTATACAATTTTATATATTTATATAAATAAATTTTTATATATTTTACTAAATTTTAGTATGAATTTTATTTAAATTACTTTCGCCACCCCACCAACAAATACTAAATTTTTAGCTTTCTTTTTTTTTGTTTAAAAAAATAAATAAAAAAATAAAAAACTTTATAAATCAATGAAATTTATTATTAAGATTCAAATTCAATCATAATATCTTATATATCACAAGCATTTAAAGAATATTTTTCATCAAAAGAATCAATATCAATAATATGTTATCCTTCAAAATCTTTTCTACATATAATCTTAAATTTATAAATGAAAATATATAAGATATATAAATACTTAACAAGGTAAAAATTTTTTATTTTAATTAACTTTTTATAAA